AATATATAATATAATCTGTATCGATCTTATCGTATGRCAAACTTCAAATCCAGTTGGTGAGGCCAAAAATCTGTATTGAATTGCATTTAATTTAAAAGCGTGATATATATGTATATATAATATATATATATAAATGTAAGCAAACCTGACTAACTGACTGAGCTGTAGCTCCGGTTCCGTTTTGCATTTGCCATAAATTATGCATAATCTTTGATTAAAACGTGTAAAAGTAATTTGGTCGGTGTAGCTTGACTAAGAATTACCCTGAAATTGGCGCTAAATAAAATATATTAGAATTTGTGTGTACATATAAGAATAGATACATAGATACTTGATTCTTACATTATCTTAATATTTCCATACCTTAAGATTTTTTATGAAATATTTACAAGCTAATGCTCTGCTGCTTTTTGGGCAGCTTAATATGTTTAAAATTTCAACCTGTGCCACATGATTTCATAAAAACATTAAACCATTTGTAAAACATTTCCAGGGTATATAATAAATGCAGATAATAGATTACAAATGCGTGCACATAAATCATTTTCGTATAATTCTAATGTCTCTGATGTCACGTAATTGCTTGAATAATTTGTACAGATTGTTCAATTTAAGATTTGTGCATACGATTAAATTAATAGATCTTGATATGATATGATAGGCTATGTGAGTAAAGAGACTGATATGAAACTGATTTGAATGAGCTTGATGAAACATATGTATAATTTTATGTTTGTTCTCTTCTCAATTGCAGGACGAGCCACTCAATACATATCTAGATCTCGGCGAATGCAAAGACCTAGAAGAGTACTCAATGAAACCTATCAAGGATAATTGCTCATATAAAGCAGTCAACAATAAGGGCGAAATTATCGGTGTCTATATCAATGGTCTAATTAAAAGACCTGTGAGTTCCCATGAGAAACAACAACAATAACAATAACAATAATAGATTTCCCTTTCAGTCCCCCACAGATACCGCTAAGAAGTCAACCTGTTCACATCCGAAATTCCAAAAGATACTCAGTCTAATGGATCATGTAGAGGAGAATTTTAACATCTTTGATCTGTATCCGAATGAGGATGTCATCCTGGATGGCAAAATTCTCTCTGTGGACAGCAACTACCGGGGTCTGGGCATTGCGGGCCGCCTCACCGAACGCGCCTATGAGTATATGCGCTCCAATAAGATATCCGTTTATCACGTGATTTGCTCCAGTCAATATTCGGCCCGTGTCATGGAGAAACTGGGCTTCCATGAGGTTTACAAACTGAACTATGCCGACTACAAAGTAGATGGTGAAACAGTCTTTAAGCCAGCCCAGCCACATGTGGCTATCCGGGTACTGGTCAAGGAGGTGGACAAAAGCAAATCGACCTTGTAATTGGCTTCAACTAGTTGCGAGAGCAATTTTGCATTTTTAATCAAAAATATGTGATTTTTATTTAGTTTGTGTTTTCGGTGGTGGGCTTTCAAGAATCGTGAATTCATTTCATTAAATATTCTGTTAAACCTAGTAGAAAATATACTAAGTACAAGTTTTAATAAAATTATATATAAGAAATAAATATATTTAAATTTAAATGTAATTAAAAATCGCCCGTTCGCGATGTTAATTTTAAGTGTTCCGTTATTTGCTCAAACATTGCTAAATGAGAAAATAAATAAATGAAAAGAAAAACTTGTTTTATGTATTGCAAAAAAAAAAAAAAAAAAAGATAAATAAATTTAATAAACAAAGAGTAATTAGCAGAAATTCTTAACTTAATTTCAGTGAATTGAAAGTGTAAAACTTTTGCAACGCTATAAAGTTCATAAAACCAAATCAGATTTTTTTAAATAAAAAAAAAGTATGTGAAAATAAAAACAAAAATATAATTGGCGGTAGATCCCACTACCTATGCTTTTGACAGCACATATTTAAATCAATTTATTGCAATCGTTAATTATAATCATTTGCATAGGAAAATAAAAAGAATAATAAAAATTTTCAACTCGTTTTGTGTAGTAAATTAGCTAAATAAATACATATATATCTAAATCTGTTGACTTTTGTGCTTTAACCTTTAATTGCATATTAATTTATCACAAAATAAGTATTATAAAATTATATTCGAGAAATCCATTCTGCGGCACCTCCTGAATTTCGCAATAACTACATGATTTAATCAGCTTATCACAAGAGCAAAAGATATTGTTGTTTGCAAATCTATTTACAAAGAATTTGGTCTATTTACATATTTAAGAACATTATTTTATTTGGCTGCAGCCCTGGCAATCGGATCTCTGGCCAGACGCTCCACCATTCGACGCATTTGCTCCTCATTGCCATATTTTTGCGCATCGGCTACTACAGCCGCATGGTGAGAATTCGCCTCCGCTGAGACTTCGTCCTGATACTGACGGCTTAGCTCGAATGAATGTCTGCAAAGATCCAGTTAGAATATCTACCGAGACGCATTTGAGTCTAGCGTACTCACCTCACCGAGCTGAAACCAAAGATTGCACCTATTAAGCCGAGCGAGAGGAGAAATAAGGCTACCTGCCAGTTGGAGACACGATTTAAGCCCTTGATGCCATAATATGGACCAGGGTTTGCGCTATAATTGGGCCTAACATCCCAGGGTTGAATTGCTTCGCGCACCGCGCCCGGATTCCAAGATAAACTTTCGTCATAATCTCTACGAGATGACGCCTTCACCAATGTCTGATAAGCCTCTGTGATTTTCACAAATCGTGCTGTTTTCTCTACACTCGCCGCATTACTCTTCACATCGGGATGATACTATAAATTAATACGCAAATAATTAATTAAATAAATTGATAATGAAGCACACTTGTTGCACCTGCTTGGACAATTTCAGGTAGGCATTGCGTATGTCCCGCTTGCTGCAATCTTGATTAACATTTAACACATCGTAGTAGGTCTCCGGTTTTTTCGACTGGTATCTTGCATTGTTGTTGAAACTACTAATAAAATAAAAGTTTATACGTTATTTTATATAACAACAACAAAAAAGCGAAACGCAGCTAGTGTTACCTACTTGTGTCTAGTGGCCGTCTCTGTGAACACTTTTAAAGTCGGTAGGCGGAGCATAATTACTGAGCTCCCTTGTCCGAAATTACACGCAGCTGTTTATGTAAATAACTTAATAATTTTGCTCAATTTAGTCTGCTCCAACAAAAAAACATAAATAAAATTTCAAGTGTTGAAAAGCGAGCTGTGTGTGTGTGAGTATCGATAAGATTCTTTGCAATACTATCGCATACTTATCGATGGCAGATTGCTGCAATCGGCATTGTCGTAAGAAATCGCTGTCATGACAACCAAAAAACATTGCGCTCTTCAAGAATAATAACAATTATTAATTAATAAAATAAAATGAGTAGCGAAAAGAAAGCAATGGACTTGCAATTCCAGGTGCGTCAAAACGCACGTGAGTATCAGAACTCGGTAAAAGATCTGTACTCATGGGAGAAGGAAATAAAAAGCAAGGAGCTGGCAATGCAAAATGCGCCCGCTCCAAAAATTAAGACAAACGTGAGTAATCAAAATTTTGATCATATGTACATAAAATATCAGTTCAACTTTTTTTTTAGAATATACCCGTGCGCAGCCACGTACAGAAAACGGATGAGACAGTCAAGAAGCCAGCAACAAGCACTGCCAAAGGTAGCTCAGTTGACTCCGCAGCGAGCACCCCAACTGAGAAAAAGGATTTTCCTATAGATACACTGGCCCAGCAGCATAAGAAGGCAAATGACATCAAGGATCGCGGCAATAGTTATGTGAAATTGAGCGAATATGAGAAGGCCATTGAAGCGTATACCGAAGCTATTGAAGTTTACCCACAGGATCCCATTTTCTTTATCAATAGAGCTTTGTGCTACTTGAAGCAAGAAAGGTAATGAATGATATAGTATATATCGCATAGAAAAACAAATCAATTTTACTTCTTTTAGTTATGATAACTGCATTGACGATTGCGATGCAGCCATTGAGCTGGACAAGTTGTGCGTGAAGGCTTACTATAGACGCATGCAAGCAAACGAATCACTGGGGAACAACATGGAAGCCCTTAAAGATTGCACCACTGTGCTGGCCATAGACCCGAAGAATTATGAAGCCAAACGCAGCTTGGAACGCATCAATGATCGTTTGCGAAAAATAGGTACTTAATGATAATATATATAATATATATTGTTAGCTAATTATGTCGCATTCCCTAGCTACCAAAAATGGTCCCAGCTTTAGTCCAGATCGTGAAGATTTTGTGGATATTTTGCCATTTGAGAAGCCTGCATCCAGGCGGTCCAAACAATCAATGCGCCGTGTCCCTGTTGTAGATATTGTAACACCTCGTCCTGGTCAGGAAGAGCAAAAGCAATTACGCATCTCGGATGAAGAAATCGATAAGATATTCAATAGCAATTGCGGACCCTTCGAAGAGGTGAAAAAGCCAGACAAAAGGAAGGTAGCAGTAGATAGCAATTTGGAAGTCAATGAAAAATTAAATGTTAAGATTCAGGAAACTAAGCAAACAGCCAATCAGTCAACTGTCAAGGAAGATAGTTCACAATCTACAAAAAAAGTCATTGAAACTGTTCTTCCCGATTTGGTACAGCCAGCAACTGAATCAAATCAAAGTATCAAAATTGTAGAGAAACCGGATAACCTCAATAAAACTACGTCACAGCCAATAATGAAAGAGAATGATATCACACCTGTAGCCAAACCAAGTGAAATTGAAATGCCTAGCACAAGCAACACCACTAAGATAGTTCCAGAGGACAAAAAAGTTACAGCAATGGAGGTAAGCCTAAAAGTATAACATTATTATTTCTCAATTCTAATTGTAATGCCTTTCCTGCAGCGCATACCACCTGCTCCGTCCGGCACAGCCCAGTTTTATATGACTTGGAAGGAATTGTCACCAAATCAGAAATATCAATATTTGAAATCGATTGAAATACCCAATTTATGTAAAATACTTGGCGCTGGCTTTGACTCGGATACATTTACGGATTTGTTGCGCACATTGAACGATTTCTATGTACCCAACAAGGAGCCAACAACAGCAGCAGTAATGCTAGAGATAAGTAAAAATGATGAGTTCAGCATTTTATCCATATTTATGTCGCCAGAGGACAAGAATAGTGAGTAGCCCCACTCTATATATGTAAGTCTATAATATTTTATATTAATCTATACTTCTATTAATTACAGTGGCTGCTTGTATCTTGGATGCAATTTCAAAGTTCCCCAAAAACAATCCAGGTCTTTTGGAAAAACTTGGCAAGCTTTACCATGTAGCCTAAAAATTGTTATAAACAATAAATGTACTTGAATCGCTTCAAATTGTTAGCTCAAAAACTGGAAAATATTTTTAAATATTTATAATAGTCATATATTCAGTTTACACTGTAAATTTAGATTATGTCAAGCCTCTAGTTTATCTAAACAATGAAGCTCTTAAATGTTTTGGAATGCTTATACTTATTACTCTACTCTCAAATGCATTCGAACTGCTCGTTAATTTCAACGCTCTTCTATTGAATTCAAGATAAATTACCTTCTTTTTTCCTTTTCTGAAAGTAAATAAAAACTATTCTCACATGAAAGAAGAACGAGAACACGAACGTCGCGCAGTCGAGCAATGAATATTAAATAGCAAATTGAGTAATATGAATTAGTGTAATTTACATAAATCAACGTATTAATTCAATCAGAGAAAGCTGCTACCCAAAATGTGCTGGTGTGTGTGCGTACATCTGCACTTATATGCATACATATATTTATATGTATATATGGGTTCTTCATGTAAACATAGAGCTCCATTAAGTGATTTAAAGTTGAAATTATGCGTTGATGGGTTAACTGCAACGCATTACAACACTAGTTGAAGGCGCAAATGACAACAAAAACAAAAACATTCAGTGAGAATATTCTCAAACACAGATTTGTGTCAGCGTGAGATCGCCGACGCTGGCGTCGCGTCGCTACTCCTCGGCTGTACAGTAAGTAAATGTGCCGGGCTTAGCTTAAGGCCCATTGTTGTTGGCTCGGCTAGTTATAATTTAATTTACATTACTTGTTGTTGCTTCTTATCGTTCGTGCGCGCATGGCTATGGGCCATCATGTGTGTGTGTGTGTGAGAGAGAGAGCGCGCGCGTGTTCGGCTTAACGTAGTTGCCAGATGAGCGCAAAGCGTGGCGAGCGCACTGGCAACTCCGCAGCCGAAGCTAAGCTTCATTAAGCAGCGGCTATAGAGAGGCAGGCAAACGGAGCGCATGATCTCGCCCAGTTGCTGTTCACACTCTAACCGATTTAGATATCGCGCTCTGGTTGTACGAAAAAATTAAAAAAAAAAAGAAATAACTTGATATATGTGTATGTGCACCATATATCAAATCAAATAGAAATCACGGCACACAAATAATAA